TGTGGGTGTATATGCCGGTGTATATCTCTATTGTGTGACTGCGCATATGCTATTGTGCATGCATTAATTGCTGTATGCACATATATTCTAGTGTTGTTCTGCTGTGTAACTAAATGCTAATGGTCACGCATTGGTGCTCGTGTGTATGCCCGTGTGTGTGCGGTAGTGTAGTAGGGGTTAGCGCTACGCTGCGCTACGAACCCGGCTGCCCAAGTTCGATTCCCGCTCACGGCCAACACCAGTGACGATTATATCTCAACCGGTCCTGGGCCTCCCCTAGGTCGACTCAGCCTCAAATGAGTACCTGGTGCGACGAGTAAACATCGCCACTGAGGAGACAAAGGCGGCCGGGCGTGGTGCTGGCCACCCACCCCCTCGTGTGCCGTGCCGGCCTTCATAGGTGCTACTCACTAACAGCACTTGCCCCAAAAGTCCGTCACACGGGGGGGGGGGGGGCCTTTGTCTTTGTAGAGGCACAGGGGTATTGAGACTGGCGAGATGAGGGGATACGGGGAGAGAGGCACAGGTGACGACCGTGCGTGTGTGCGTGCGCGTGCGTGCGTGTGTGTGTGCGTGCGTGTGCGTGTGTGCGTGTATGTGCGTGCGTGTGTGCGTGCATGTGCGTGTGTGCGCGTGTGTGCGTGCGCGTGTGTGCGTGTGTGTGTAGTCCGGAAAAACAACCCCCTACCTCCTCGCGGTGCCGGACGGGCAACTCTGTCGTGGACAGTGCTGTGGCGTCTGTGACCACCACAGTGGCTAAACGGGGGCTCTGGACGGGTGCGAGGGGCTGGTAACCCCTCCACCTTCAAAAAATTACCACGAAACCACGACTTAAATATATAACTAATAAGCTTGTGCCGGAGGCCCCGGGGGGACAGGCGTCTATGACGTCTCCTGGCCAAACCCCAATTGGCGGAGCCAGGAGATTTAATCTCTACCCTTGGGGCTCCTCCAGAAACAACGAAAAGCCACTTCGTGTGGCCACGTGGAATCTTCGAACTATCACTGCGGAGGAGATCCAGGCGGTACCTGGACCGGTACCGCCTGGATCTCTGTGGCATTCAGGAGGTCCGGTGGACCGGTTCTGGCTCCTGCCACCATGAGGGGTGGACAGTCCTCTACTCGGGGTAGCAGACTGCCAAACAACAGGGTGTGGCTCTTCTTTTGAACAAAATAATGAAAGGTGCGTGGAAGCGTGGCGGTGAGGTGTGGGAAGCTGTAAGCCCCAGGCTACTTTGGGCTCGCCTTCCCATCAACCAGAGGCGAGGAGTGGTGGTCGTGGTTACTTATGCCCCCACCGAAGACGAACATCAGTGGAGGGATGCAGGCAAAGCCGATGAGTCAGATGCCTTCTATGACCTCCTGTCACAGGTGCTGGCTAAAGTGGCCCATCGGGATAGAGTCATCTTGTTGGGTGACTTCAATGCCCAAGTTGGTCATGATGCTGGCACCTGGTCTGGAGTGATTGGAGAGCATGGGCCAGATCAGCTCAATAACTACGGTAGGAGGCTGCTATATTTTTGTGCAGCCCATGGGCTTGTAATTACCAACACGCTGCTCCGGCATCGGCGCATCCTCACAACATCATGGATGCATGCCGGGTCCAAGCAAGAACATCTGCTGGACTACATAGTGACGGACCAGCGGATGGGAGCCCATGTCTTTGACACCAGGACCTACCGTGGAGCTGATCTGCCCTCTGACCATCGACTAGTCATCTGTAAGATGCGCCTGCCATTCTTCCACTCCGGTGGTGGGTGTACACCCAGGACCCCATTCCAACCTAAAGTGGCTTGGTCTCAGTTAGCTGATGAAAGTTGCAAGCGAAAATTTCATCATCGCTTGCGGCTGGGGTTGGCATCGTCCCCCACTCGTCCTGATGTCGAGGGTAAATGGGCGAGGTTTAGGACTGTGACTCATGCAGCTGCAATGGCTGCTTTGGGTACTTGGTCCAGACCTCCCCAGAGACCCTGGCTGACAGAGGAGGTGTTCAGGATAGTTGAGAAAAAGCGACAGGCCCACTGTCATCGGCTACAGAATCCCACGTCAGAGAATGAGGAGACTTACCGCAGCCTTCGCTCGGAGGTTCGGAGAGCCGTGAGGCGCTGCAAGGATGGGTGGTGGTCGCGGGTTGTTGAGGAGATGGAGTCTGCCTCAGTGGCCCGCGATCACATCTCTATTTAACTCCATCAAAAAAGTAACCTGCAGCGCCACACCTATTACCATCATTAGGGGAAAAAATGGTGTTCCAATCTCCGACCCCCAGGAACAGGTTTGCAGATTTGCTGAGCATTTCTGTGAGGTCCTGGGGGAGGGGAAACCCCTCAGCCAGGAAAACATTGTGGCACAAAGTGGAGATGACCCTGCTGAGGCTGCGGTGCCTCAAATATTGGAAAAAGTCACCTCCTGTGAGTGGCTGGCTGAGGTGCCATCTGTTGAGGAAGTACTGAAGGCGATCCGGAGTCTGAGACCAGGAAAGGCACCGGGCAGAGATGATCTCCCAAGCGAAATGCTGAGGGAGGGTGGCGTTTGTGCATAGACTGCCCTATATGACATCATAACAACAGTCTGGACCACTGGACGGGTTCCCCAAGATTGGAAGGATGCCCTGGTGGTCCCACTCTTTAAGAAGGGGGACCGCACACACTGTAACAGCTACAGGGGCATCTCACTCCTCAGTGTGCCGGGAAAGGTCCTGGCAAGGATTATTCAACATCGCCTTGCCAGGTACGCTGAGGAGAGGCTTGCAGAGCCCCAATGCGGTTTCAGGAAAGGGCGATCCTGCACAGATGCCATATTTTCTGTCCGTCTACTACAGCAGAGGTGTAGGGAATTCCAACAAGACCTACATCTCTGCTTTATTGACCTGGTCAAGGCCTATGATACCATCAGTAGGCCTGGCTCTGGGTTGTTCTTCGTGCTTTTGGAGTCCCTGACCCCCTGCTCACGATCATTAAGGACCTTCATGATGGTGAGCTGGCCAGGGTAAAACTACGTGGCCAGGAGTCAGAGCCATTCCCTGTACACCTTGGGGTGCGACAGGGATGTCTTCTGGCTCCCACATTTTTTAACATCTATTTTGACCACGTAGTTCGTGAAGCCTTCATTAGCTGTACCGGGGGAATCTCCATTTGGTACAGATATAATGGGAGGCTGATCGATGCCCGGGAGTGGTCAAGGTATGGCTCCCTATTGCTCAACCACGTTATGTATGCCGATGATTTGCTAATAGCTGCTCATTCAGAGAAAGAGTTGGAGACGCTGCTGCTGAGACTGGAGCGTGCCACTAAGAGATGGGGCCTTACCATCAGCCCCACCAAAACTAAGCACCTGTCTGGGTATTTTGTACCATCGGACACTCCACCCCCACAACTCCCCATCGGTGATGGGGCAGTTGTGGAGACAGTGGAGAGTTTCCCATACCTGGGCAGTGTGCTTATGACCGGCTCCATTTGCGTAACGCTGTGTGGAAGCTACCTGGTCTGCCGCTCCGCACTAAGCTTCAGGTCTTCTCGGCCACGGTCATTCCCTCCCTTCTCTACGCTTGCGAAACGTGGACCCCCTTAATGGAACATCTTCGCCGGTTAGAAACATTTAGGCTAGCCTGTCTACGATCCATCCTGGGTTTAACCAGGCTGGATTGTGTGAGGAGCTCACAAATCCTTGAAAGATCTGGGCAAGGTCCCATCGGTGAGCTCCTCCGGCGGGGAAGGCTGCGATGGCTGGGTCATGTAGCCCGCATGCCCAGCCACCGCATGCCGAAACAGCTTTTGTTTGGCCGGATCGAGGAGGCTCGTGAAGGACGCTACTGGGCAGTTGGATGCAGTCGCCCTCCAACAACAACGGAGGGCGGAGAAGCGACGCTCACAACAACGAGCGGAGCGCCGGGTGGATAAAGCACAGCAGGTTGGCACAGTAGGGGGCACAGGTGGTGCATCAGCCAGTCATCTCAGTCATCTTAGTCAGTCGACCCGTGGCACTTGGGTCTCCCCCGTGACCTCCTGCCAGCGGGCGTTCGACACTTCACGTGGCCTCAAGGTGCACATGGCCTGGCACAAGCGTCGTGGTGACGTCACCGCCACTTAGTGGCGAATGGCGGTTGTTGTTGTGTGTGTGCGTGTGTGCTTGCTCGCACTATAACCGCTTCATAGCCCATCGGATTCCTCGCGTATAAATACATAAATCGATAATATCCAGGCGTGCACAATTGTGAACTCCCAGACGTCTGTAATTTCAATTTTCATGTTTAAATAAAAACAAGCGCTGTGAAAATGGACTTAATTATGACTTGAACTCACGATCAAATGTTCAACCTCTGCAGCATTGTCAGAAATAACTCATTTTTTTGCATTTAAAAGGTCAGAATGTTTGTTTTAAAACGTGTACCCGTATACGGACATGCGTACGTGCGATGATGATGATGTACTTGCCCATTAGGGTGTACGGATGAACGTGCACCATGTAACCCATTGCATACGCACGAATCGTACAATGCGCGCACAATGTATGCTCACGTGCGCGCGTGTGTGTGTACACACCGTGAATGTTCAACGTGTACAGACGACGACATTGGTGATGATGATTGTTGTGAATATGACATTCACCTGTAGATATACCGTCTCCTTATAATGTGCATTCTCCCTTAACATAATAATGCGTCGCACACACGTATGCACGATGTGAATTAATTGTCCACTGGTAGGTTGATATGCGCAATATATACGCGTACATGCTTATTGATTGATATGGCTGTGTTTTATCGCCTATAACAACTAAACAATGGGTGAGAGGAGACGGAGGGAGAGTGGATGGAGAGCTAAAAAATAAATTAATCTACTCGAGGAGTGTCGGGGAGTAGCGGTGGGGGGAGTGGGGGGTGGGGAGAGAGTGGGGGAGGGGATGGTGGGTGGGGAGAGAGTGGGGGGGAGAGAGTTGGGGGGGGGGGTTGGTGGGTGGGTGGGGAGAGAGTGGGGGGAGGGTGCAACAGGAGGGAGGAGAGATTGGTTGCAGAGATGCACACACAGACACAGAGAGAGAGACTCACACAGACACACAGTCAGAGAGAGAGAGAGACTCACACACGCGCACATATCTTATGAGAAGCTCTCAACACAAACCAACATCAAGTGAGCAGCAATCGCCAAGGCTTATCAATGTGCATGGTCATTTTTGCACCGGTAAGAACTTGACCGTTCACTCTGGCCGGACGCGAGGTTATTTCTTTGCGTGAGTAGACTGATGCGTAATGTGCAGCGTGCCGTGCGTGTGTGGTGCACGGTGTGATGTGGATACCTCTGTCTACGCGTCTGTGTGCGCCTCGTGGTGTTCTCTGCATAGGTGCGCGTGTGCATGGGCAACTCTTTATTCGATATACGTGAGTGTCATATGTGTTTTGCAAACGGGCCAGTGGGTTTAAAATTAATAGAGAGAAAGAGCATGCAATTTTGGCCAAATGTGTTCTCATATTATTACTTATCAATCCCTGCACTCGGAATGCGCCTGCTATACTGCATACGTTTAAAAAAACATTTTTTTGCATGGGAATGTGTCCACTAAAACGAGATTGATACGTAGATGCAAGCATCGTTTTTTTTATTGTTGGCAACGATTCTAGACTGCGCTTATTATACGTGCATGGGTTGCTGTGCGTTGATTCGTGCGAACGGAATCGCAGAAAGCCGGAGATTAATTATCGAGAGAGAAACGGGAACGGGGGGACAGGGAGTGCGACGAGAGACGGAGAGACGCGGGGAGACAGAAATCGGTCGCAGAAAGAGACCCTGAGACAGAGACACGGAGAGAGAGAGACATATATTTGAGAGATAGAGAGAGAGACACGCTGTATTATGAATGTTCATGTATTATTGATCGTAAGTACACATTCTACGTGGTTATGTGTGTGCTACATTTGCATACGCAGCATTCATACATGCACCGCATTAAGAGTGCAAATACTCTGCAGTTAAAGACTATGCACGCTTCTGTGATCATTAATGTACTTGCGTGCACAATGCAAGCGAACGGTATAATGTATGCATGCGTATAACTATGCAATGACCTGTCAATCAGATAACACAGTATGTCTACCTATGAACAGGTGGTTGTTTTTGCATGTCTGCAGACGCGCATGGACACGCGTGTGTATGAACCTGAGCTTCTGTTGCTTACGAGCAGGAAGAGATGCTCACTCATCATTAAGGATGGTGCTCTGTTGCAGATGCACAGAGAGGTTCTGGAGACAGAGAGGGCTGCACACCGCAAGAGAGAGAGAGAGAGATGGGAGAGAGATACAGGCACGGGGAGAGAGATAGAGAGCCAGGGAGATATATATATACGGACACAAGGAGAGATGCAGAAAGAAACGGACGCTAGAGGGAGGTGCAGAGAGATGTGGGCAGATACATAGGAAAAGAGGAGTCGGGAAATGCACTGAGACAGAGAAAGAGGCAGATAAATAGGCGCTCAGTCAGACACAGAGACGGGGATAAGCACAGACAGACAAACACAGACTTGCAGAGAAAAAACATCCACACACACACAGAGAGAGACACACACAGAGATAAACAGACACAAATAATGATGCGGACAGACAGGCACAGCGTGAAACGGACAAAGAGGGACACATGGAAATTCACAGACACCAAGACACAGAGAGACATGCGGAGAGACAGTGAAAGACGGAGGGAGTCTGACACAGAGAAAGAGAGAGACAGTCGCACGTGGAGTCAAAGCCAGAGGGACAGAAACGGTAAAAAAGACAGCGAGGTATTTACATAGAGAGCGACACGGAGAGACAGACAGAGGGATGGAGAGACAGACACAGATCTAAGAAAGACAGACAATAAAGGGAGGACTACGTCGAAAGACAAGAATGCGTGACACAGGGATGGACACACACAGAGACACAGCGAGATAGACACACACACAAAGACAGAGCGAGATAGACACACACAGAGAGACACCGCGAGATAGACAAACACACACAGAGACACAGAGAGATAGACACACACACAGACACAGCGAGATAGACACACACAGAGACACAGAGAGATAGACACACACACAGAGACACAGAGAGATAGACACACACACAGAAACACAGAGAGATAGACACACACAGAGACACAGCGAGATAGACACACACACAGAGACACAGAGAGATAGACACACACAGAGACACAGCGAGATAGACACACACACAGAGACACAGAGAGATAGACACACAGAGAGATCGACACACACAGAGACACAGAGAGATAGACACACACACAGAGACACAGAGATAGACATACACAGAGAGATAGATACACACACAGAGACACAGAGAGATAGACACACAGAGAGATAGATACACACGTAGAAACACAGCGAGATAGACAAACACACACAGAGACACAGCGAGATAGACACACACAGAGAGACACAGCGAGATAGACAAACACACACAGAGACACAGCGAGATAGACATACACAGAGACACAGAGAGATAGACAAACACACACAGAGACACAGCGAGATAGACACACACACAGAGACACAGAGAGATAGACAAACACACACAGAGACACAGAGAGATAGACACACACAGAGACACAGCGAGATAGACATACACAGAGACACAGAGAGATAGACAAACACACACAGAGACACAGAGAGATAGACAAACACACAGAGAGACACAGAGAGATAGACACACACAGAGACACAGAGAGATAGACACACACACGCAGACACAGTGAGATAGACACACACACAGAGACACAGCGAGATAGACACACACAGAGAGACACAGCGAGATAGACAAACACACAGAGACACAGCGAGATAGACACACACACAGAGACACAGAGAGATAGACACACACAGAGACACAGCGAGATAGACACACAGATAGATAGATACACACACAGAGACACAGAGAGATAGACACACACAGAGACACAGCGAGACAGACACACACACAGACACAGAGAGATAGACAAACACACACAGAGACACAGCGAGATAGACACACGCAGAGACACAGAGAGATAGATACACACAGAGACACAGAGAGATAGATACACACAGAGACACAGCGAGATAGACAAACACACAGAGACACAGCGAGATAGACACACACAGAGACACAGCGAGATAGACACACACACAGAGACACAGAGAGATAGACAAACACACACAGAGACACAGAGAGATAGACACACACAGAGACACAGAGAGATAGACACACACAGATACACAGAGAGATAGACAAACACACACAGAGACACAGAGAGATAGACACACACAGAGACACAGCGAGATAGACACACACACAGACACAGAGAGATAGACACACACACAGAGACACAGCGAGATAGACACACACAGAGAGACACAGCGAGATAGACAAACACACAGAGACAGCGAGATAGACACACACACAGAGACACAGAGAGATAGACACACACAGAGACACAGCGAGATAGACACACACAGAGAGATAGATACACACAGACACAGAGAGATAGACACACAGAGACACAGCGAGATAGACACACACACAGACACAGAGAGATAGACACACACACAGAGAAACAGCGAGATAGACACACACAGAGACACAGCGAGATAGACACACACAGACACAGAGAGATAGACACACACACAGAGACACAGAGAGATAGACACACACACAGAGATAGACACACACACAGAGACACAGAGAGATAGACAAACACACAGAGACACAGCGAGATAGACACACACAGAGACACAGAGAGATAGACAAACACACACAGAGACACAGCGAGATAGACACACACACACAGAGACACAGCGAGATAGACACACACACAGAGACACAGAGAGATAGACACACAGAGAGATAGATACACACAGAGACACAGAGAGATAGACACACACAGAGACACAGCGAGATAGACAAACACACAGAGACACAGCGAGATAGACACACACACAGAGACACAGCGAGATAGACAAACACACACAGAGACACAGCGAGATAGACAAACACACAGAGACACAGAGATAAACAAACACACACAGAGACACAGCGAGATAGACACACACACAGAGACACAGAGAGTATCTCTCACGAAGTGGATTCGCCGTACCCATACGTAAAAAAGACAAAGATCCCCCGTATAGCCTTAACAGACTGTAGGGGCAAGTGTTGTTAGCGAGCATACATACACCTTGCTGTACAGACGTGGGTAATGGCATTGCACCCACGTGCCCAGGCGCTGCTGCTCATTAAGGCAGAACGCTACCGAGTACTTGACGGCGTTCCGAACACGTGTGTTGGGTGACATACGAATTCTGTAGCAGGTAGCACTGTCGTCGTTAAAGAGCGTGCGCTTCTCGGCACAACGCCGAATAATTCTGAATGAGAATCTTTACTCTTGGTGCAACACCGACTAATTGTGAGTGGGAGTCTTTATTTAAGACTGGAGGAGAGTTATTTTTATCACAAACATGCCCAGTCATGGGCAAGTGAGCAAGTCACCCACAGCTAAACAATACGAAGAACAATGTTCCGGTGGTTAAATTTCGATTTAAAGCTTTCGTGACTGCAGGGATTAATATTATTGGTTCTTTCGGTAAAGTCGCGTCGAAGGGAAATTATAAAATACTAAAAATAAAACAATAAAATTATCACGACGTTTCGATTGCAACACAAGCAATCATCATCAGGTGTGAAAACCACAGCAATATATTTTTTTGAAAAAAGTGGCGGGTTTTTTTTCCGAGCATAGATGGACTCGTCCGTCTGAACAACCGCTAGTCGCTGTCCGTGGTGCTAACGTAAAGAAAAACCCGCCACTTTTTTCAAAAAAAAAAATTGATGTGGGTTTCACACCTGCTGATGATTACTTGTGTTGCAATCGAAACGTCGTGATAATTTATTGTTTTATTATTTTATTATTTCCCTTCTACGTGACTTTACCGAAAGAACCAAGACTAATGTTCCGGTGCTTAGTTGTGAAATCTATAATTTACAATGATAAGTATTGTTATTTGGTGTGAGCACCGTGTTGAATTTGAACAAACTCCGTGGAGAATTGGCGGTGAGCGCGCAGCAATTACACAAAACAATCCACCTCATTAATCGGACGGAGAGGAGACGAGGGATGGGGGTGGTGTGAGCGTAGAAGCGGGAAGAATCAATGTCGCA